AGCTGCCAGTCCTAGAGTCTCATTTTATAAGCTATCTAAACGTAGCACGGAAGAGAAGGATTCTAAGTAGTACATGTACAAACTGTGAGTTTTTTTTTTTTTTTTTTGCTTTTTGGGTCACACCCGGGGATGCACAGGGGTTCCTCCTGGCTCATATACTCAGGAATTACTCCTGACGGAGCTCAGGGGACCATATGGGATTCTGGGAATCGAACCCGGGTCGGCCGTGCGCAAGGCAAATGCCCTACCCGCTGTTCTATTGCTCCAGCCCTCTCTGTGAGGTTTTGTCCTGACTTGCTAGTGAGCGAGCTCTGGAGACTCCCTTTTTCTCTCCACCTAAGTATTCCCAGTGGCTTCTCACTCTTCTCCACACCTTGGCCTTTGCCCAGTCTTCCAACCCCTCTGGTCTCAGGCATTGTATCTTTATCACCAAACCAAGTCCGGTCTGCCCAGGACAGAGCAGGCTTTATGGAAGATTCCAGAAGGCTATCAGGCAGACAACCCCACCCCCACCCCCTACACACCAGGTATTGTTTCAAGGGAGTTATCTTAAGAATTTTACTAGGGGTAAACTATCAGCCCTGGGGGACTCTTGAAACCAAGGACACCAAGGGCTGCCTGAAGACTGGACCCCTTCTCTCCCCCTGGCCTCTCACTGGCTCTGTAGAGGCAAGTGCCCACGTTTAGATTGGGAAGTAACTTCCTATGATTAGGACAATGACAACATTGTGCTTCCGCAATAATGCACATGCTTACTTTCTTTCCCATTAGTGGTAAGAAGAGTTCCCTCTTTGAGTAATATTTCCCTGCCAAGAATTTCTCATCATTTCAATACCTTGGCCCTTTGGGGGTACCTTTGCTCTTTGCTCTATTTTCATTTTTTTTTAGTTTGGGGGCCACACCCAGCTGTGCCTAATTAGGTCTTACCCTGGCTTAGAATCACTGGGATGACATGGGGTGTGGGAGATCCAACCCGGGATGGCTGAGTGCAAAGCAAGTGTCCTACCCACTGTACTATCGCTCTGGCCCCATCTTTTGCTTATTTTTAGTTATTATTTCAAGCTTGACATTTATTTTTCCTCTTCTTTGGGGCTTTGGGGCAGGGTGTGCAAGCGGGTGCTCCTGCCAGCATGTGCTGCAGCTCTCGGAGTCATCTCTCCAGTGCAAGCTGCCATTTATTCCGAGTATGGGAATCTTGAAAGGCTGAGGCTCAGCTGTCCCCTCCGCACACTGCGATCAGGCAAGTCAGAGCAGCACCGCCATAGGATCCCTCTGAACGTGCTTGCTGTTGCCAGACACCAGTATGTTGTGCTGGCGAGAGCTCAGGACTGGAGAGTGAGTTTATTAGAAGCTCAGCGCTGAGGACCCCAAGTCAGAAGAGAAAGAGACTTGGAGCCCCATTTGCTGAGTGGGTACAATCTCACCCCAAGGTGATGTGTTTACATTTCAAAAGGGATGATGCCCAGACTTCCTAAGAAACTCATTTCCAAAAGTGGGCTACAATCTCTGTACATTCTTATCAGTGAAACAGGGGATACGGAGGTAATAAACAAAGAAAAACACTCAATGCATGTTCCCACATGGTATGGCCTTTAGGTACTCAAAAGAAAAACAGTGTCAATATATTTTACCCATTTGGCGTGGCATTCGTGCGCCGCCTCCCATGCATTTGGTCTGGTGGGCTGGCGGGCCCTTAATGCGGTTGATTGGGGTCATAAAAGGGAATGTCTCTTCTTCCCTTCTCTTGTTTTACTTAGGGGGTCAGTTTCAGTTTCCCAGTCCCCATTATTTTAATTCTCATTACAGTTTCATAATTCTCATTACATACAGCTTCTTTTCATTTCACAGGACACACAACCCATCCAACTACTCTGTTCATTTTTCAGTTAGCTATTTCTCTGACCACAGCCAGAACAGAACCAAACTGCCAGCAGAGTGAAGGAAGATGATAAATTCTGTGGCTATAAATTCTTGGGGAATATTTTCTTTTCCTGCCCAGTGCTTAAGGCCAAGCCAAACGAGACAGACTAGTTCTTCCCTTGCCTGAGAGCAGATATTATCCCTTAGAGTTAATTGTTCCAACAATGGAGGCGTTACTGCCCGCCCCTCGAGCAAACCAATGAAAAACCAATGAAAAACGGGAGGACAGTGCTACAGTGCTAATCTAGGGGGTTTCTCCCCAGAACCCCTGCTGCCATTTTGCATAAGTTTTACTTCCTGTTGAGCTGCTTCCGAAGTACTTGACTTTTTGTAAAATTTCTATTTCTTTTTGGGTCACACTCGGCAATACACAGGGGTTACTCTTGGCAGTGCTCGGGGCACCATCCGGAATGCTGGGGATTGAACCCGGGTCAGCCGCATGCAAGGCAAATGCCCTACTCGCTGTGCTATGGCTCCAGCCCCAGTACTTGACTTTTACTACAACAAGTCACTAAAGTGGCCTTCAAGTCAGTTTATGCTTATCACATTAGTTTTCATCTAGCATTTCCCAAGTAGTCCCTGTGTTCCCCGAATTTCTTGCAACCTCAGTTACACATTCTGATTTGGTGGGGGAGCATTTAACTGTATTTAGTACAGGGTTTTTATTTTCCTTAGGGAGGAGGGTTTTGGGTTCATACCCACTTGTGCTTAGGGGGATTACATGTGGTGCCAGGTATTAAATCAGGGTTGGGGCTTCCAGAGTAACCGGTGCCTTACCTTCTGTTATCTTTCCAGCCATAAAGACAGTTTTTGGGTGGGTGTGTATGTCTTGGCAGGAGAGTTTGAGGCCACACCCAGCACTGCTCATGATTTATTCCTACCTCTGAGCTAAGGGGTTACTCTTGGTAGGAGCTGGGAAACAAACCTTAGGTTGGCTGTATGCATGGCACCTTATCCACTGTACTATCTCTCTGGCTCAAAGAGAGGGTCTTTTAAATGTTGTCTAGTGGCTAGGGAGATAGTTCAAACGACTGGAGCCAAGCATGTTTCAGAGGTCTGCGTTTGATTCCCAGTACCACATGGGCTCTGAGCACTAGGGTAGGAGTCACACCTACCCCTCCCAGGCGAGCACCACATGGTGTGACCCAAAGAACAAACAAAATGTCACCCATTATACTGTCCGAAGAAATCTAAGCAAATTTGATTGATCACAGTTATTCTCACTATAGGGTATTTTCCATTCTATGGGATAAGATAAAAACAGAGGAAACAGATATTACCAGATACAAATATGAAACAGAGCCTGAATACTGTTGTTCTCATCTAACAAAGATTTTAGTATAACAATAACCTAAAATAAGACCACATTAATATCTGGAGGAATGTGAATACTAATATCAGGAATTAGCTACCATAGCGCAGGATGAATTTACATGGTGTGCTGAGCTTGGTCTTTGATTATTATTATTATCTTTGATTATTATTATTACTTTGGGTTTGGGGGCCAAAGCCCATGGTACTGGAGGGAGCGCATGGGGGGTCGGCTATCCACTGTCTTATCTCTCCCACTCTAAGCCTGATGTTTGCAACATTAGATTAGTGCCGGTTTGCTGAGCCTTAACCTTGCTGAGTGTCCCATCAAGGTACAGCCTGGTCCCCCGGAGTGCTGCGGGGGGGGGGGGGGGGACGTGGGGGGGAGCGGGCAGACCTAGACGAGGTTGCCCTGGGGTATGGACCAAACCAAACGATGCCAAGCACTGCTGTTTAGTTCGCGCAAAGAGCCGACTTAAGGCTCTTTCTATCCACCTGACTGCTCACCAGTTGGCTCCCTCCAACCACAGGTGAGATGGCTGTTCCCCACCCCCCCACCCCCCACCCGCCCCAGTCCACTCAGGAGGCAGGAATGGGTAAGAGCTGATGGACTGAGCAAAATCAGAGACCGGGTGTTTGGAAGCAGCTTGGACAGAGCAGCCAGGGCGGATGCTGCATAGGGTGCCCTAGTGTGACTACTCCAAGGGCCCTCGACAGCCCTGGGTACACAACACACATCCAAAACACAACCGAGAGATAAGAACAGAAAGAAAAACTGGGGAGCCGGGGGGGATGGAGAGTAGAAAAGAAACTTCCCCAGAATCAGGACAGGCAGGGAAAGCTGCTAGCAGCTGTAAAGTCTAATGGCCAAACCTGTCATTTCTCCAATGACGCCCCCCACCCCCGCACCTACACTGGGCGGTGGGGGGTGGGAATGATCCTCGCCAGGCCGCGTGAGGAACACCTCCCATCCCCTCCGTGCCCTTCCCTTCCGTACGCCCACCGCGAGGGGCAGACCCGGACTGTCACTCGAGGCCCCCCTGCCGCGGTAGCATCTCCGGTTTGTTGGGCACGTGGTCCCCGAGGTGGGGTAGCTGGAAGATGCCTTCAACTTAGCAGGGGGCGGGGGGGTGGGTAGGGGTCCCCAAGCAGAGCAAGGTCAGGAGCTGGGGTGCAACAAGAAGATGCCTTGGCAGGGGGCAGGAGGTGGCACAAGCAGAGCAAGGTCAGGAGCTGGGGTGCAACTCTCAGCACGCCGCGATCGGGGCTCGCTCGCTCTCTCCAGAGCTCAGCTGGCGCGGGCCGTGCAAGTTCGATCCAGTCCGGGTAAAGGTCGCCAGCTGCAGGAATGGTAGCTAGGAGACCGCGAGGTACGTCAAAGCACGGGAGGCTCCCTCCTCTGCGCGGGCCAAAGGCTGCCCGAGGAACGAGTACGTCAGCGAGCACCAAGAGCGTTACCTTGGCGCGATAACGCCCTCGCCCCACCCTCCCGGAGCCTCGCGCATGCACCCAATAGACCGGAGGGGCTGATGTCAGCGCCTCCCGCTCCTAAGTCCCCCAAGGCCTGTCGTAACTGCGGGGCAAGAGCGGCTGGGCCCGGAAGGGCACCGGCGCCGCGCAGCCTACCCTGCTAGCCGGCGTGCGCGCGCAGGCGCCGTGGCTGCGACCTTGGAGCCAATGAGAGGCGTCTACGTCACCACGCAGGCCGCCGTCGCGGCTCTAGAGCCAATGAGAGGCGTCTACGTCACCACGCAGCCGCCCGTCCGGGCCGCACGTCGGGCCGCGCCGGGGTGGGGCGAGTGCGGTTGCGCCGACACCGGTACATAGGCGCGGGCCGGCGTGTCCTTGGACTTAAAGAGCGGGACGTCGGACTCGCGGAGCGGACTCTCTGTGTCACGTGAGACGAAAGCGAGGTGGGCGCGGGACACGGGGCTGCAGCGGGGTGGGAGGCCGAGGTGGGGGGTGGGGTGCGGGCTGCAGGGGCCGCTTGGACCGCTTGGGCGGGGGCGAGCCTGGCCCGGCGCCCTGCAGCGCCTCGAGGTGTAGCCCGCCCGGGACTGGCGGGATTGGTCGCGCTCTGGGCCCCGCCAGGACCCCCAGCGGCCGCTGATGCTGCAGCTGCTTGAGGGGCTGCGGAGAGACGGAGGCGGAAGCCGGGAGGCGCCGGCCCCCCGCCAACGGGCCCCGCGTGGCGTGCGTCTCCGAGGGCGATCTCGGCGCCTCCGCCGCGGGCTCCGGTCCAGGCGCGGCTCCCCATCCTCCTGCCGCATCGCGGGAACTCTGCGCGGCCTGCGTGCTCCGGGAATCCCCGGGGCCCATCATCACGAGGTCACCACACCAAGGCTTGGAATACCCTGAGCAGGCTCAGCCCGCCGCCGCCTTTTGGGGTTGTTGCTTTTCCATATCCGAGAACTGCCTTCCAGTTGCAGTGCGAGTGGATAATTACTCTTAAAGGATGGCATTTTGATGGTTGTATGGGGGGGGGGGAGGGAAACGACACATTTTGTGGTATTCAGGGGTTGCTCCTAGCTCTATGCTCAGGGGTTGGGCCGGCAAGGGGGGTAGTGCCTTAGGGTCGCGCTTAGAGTCAGCGCCTAATCCATGCCCTACCATCTCCTCAAAGAGCTGGGATTTTTGGTGGTTTGTGCTTAGGGTAGTCGCCGGTCAATATCCCTCTGGTTGTGACTTTGTGTGACCTTGACCTTATCCTTGAAAAGGCTTTTGAACTAAGTTTCCCCCGTGGACTTGAACGTCCTGGTGGCTGCAGGTGTTTTTTTTTTTTTTTTTTTTTTATAAAGGAAGCCCTTCCCGCGTTGTGCTTTCACTACTAACAACTCACTCTACTGCAACACTTAAGCCCAATGACTTTGTTATGTGGGGGGCTGGAGTGGTCATTGGTTTCTGTCTGATTTTTTACTTAGAACAAGAAAGAAATTAATTGAGTTATATTTTTAGATTCAAAGATGGGTGATATTGAGAAGGGCAAGAAGATTTTTGTCCAGAAGTGCGCTCAGTGCCATACCGTGGAGAAGGGAGGCAAGCACAAGACCGGGCCCAATCTCCATGGTCTGTTTGGGCGGAAGACGGGGCAGGCCGCTGGATTCTCTTACACCGATGCCAACAAGAACAAAGGTAAGGGGGCAAGGGCTGGACAGTTAAATAACTGTAGCCAATGCACCGGTTGGGTGAATGTCACCTATAATAGACTCTCCATCTGGAGTATGAAATACTCACTACATCTCTGCTTGCTCAGGCATCACCTGGAATGAGGACACGCTGATGGAGTATTTGGAGAACCCCAAGAAGTACATCCCTGGAACAAAAATGATCTTCGCTGGCATTAAGAAGAAGACCGAGCGGGCAGAGTTGATAGCTTACCTCAAAAAAGCTACTAATGAGTAATAGTTGGCACCGCCTTATTTATTACAAAACAAATGTCTCATGACTTTTTTATGTGTACCATATTTAAATCCATCTCGTTCACCAGAATTCAGATCATGAGTGACCGATAACGTATTTTTGTTGGGCAGCCCTGATTTAAATAAGATTGGCTTGTGTTTTAAATGAGTATGATCAGTTTTTTTGAATTAATGATAATTCCAGGTCAGCAAGTGCAATCACTGTCCCTTTCCAAAGATATGATTGAACTTAATTCGTCACATTCACCTTTCCAAGGGATGGAGATGGCCATCTCAAACCTGTGGGAGAATAGTTTTCTATTCAGATTTATAGAACCGGCTATATTAATATATCTAAAGATTGAGGATATCACTGTCTCCTTAGGTTGTTTCTTAGCCTGATGAGATTAGTTGGCAGTGACCTTATATCTTTTTCTTAATTGTGGTAATTAAAAATTCCCTATATCTAAAAATGTTGCCTTTCACTTACTGAAAAGTATTTTAATGTGATGTATGTATAACATTGAATAAAAAATACCACTTCTCACAACTTTTAGATGATCTTAAAGTCAGATGCTTTTAAATTTTAGCCTGGTGAGTTAAGAGTGGCAAGTTTTGCTGCTTCTTTACTAAAGTCAGACTATGATGTAGTTCAGGATTGTCTTAAGCAGCTATTCAGAAATGCACACTTAGAAAACTAACCCTGTGTATGTAATTGATAACGGTGCTTTTGCCAACTCATTAGTAGAGGAGATATCATTAGCACAAGTTTGTAAATTATGTGATCATAAGAATTAAGATGATTAAAACAAAGTCACAGATGATGGTTTTTTCTAATGTGCTTGATTTGACTGCTACCAAAATTGGAAAGTTGGAAAGGTTCAAGTGATAGCTTCTGATGGTGTTTCTTGGTCTTTTTTTTTTTTTTTCCTTTTTTGGGACACAGCGATGGTCAGGGGTAATACATACTCCTATCTCAGGAATTACTCCTGGTGGACCCAGGGAACCAAATGGAATGCCAGGGATTGAACCCTGGTCAGCTGAATGCAAGGCAAATGCCCTACCCACTGTACTATGGCTCCAGCCACTGTTCCTTGGTCTTGACTAATGGGAACTCATTGTGTTCATTATGTAGTTGAATTAATCTTTGGCCTTTGCATGTTTAGAAAGCTTTTACTGTTGGGGTTTGGGGTTGGACTGTTGCCAGGTTGCCACAGTTTAGAAGCGCAGGCACTAAGACAAACTGGCAACCCTTCCTGATGGTCAGGATGAGCATTGCAGCATGTTTTAGATGTTCATAGAAAAATCTATTTGGGCCAGAGGCAGAGCAGGGGTTAAGGCACACGCCTGGTATGTAGCCCGCCCTGGTTCAGTCACCTTGTGGTCCTAGTTGACAAAGTCTATCTTAGCACATGAATGGCAGCAAGAAGCTGGTGGAGACATGAGCTTGAATTAAACTGAAAAGAACGAGAAATCCTCAAATCTATGTGAGTGTACATAGGCTGGAAAGAGTCCTCATTATTGGTTTCATAGGATGACTAGGGATCCAGAGATAGTACAGCAGGTAGGGTGTTTGCCTTGCACATGGCCAGCCCTGGCTTGATCTGGCACCTCATGGCTGGAGAAAGTGCAGGGATTAAGACACATGTTTTCCAGCAGGACTTGGTAACTGCCTAATTCGTGGTGTACAGAGTTAGTGTGGCAATTATCTGGGAAGATTTGAAGCCAAGCAAGCAGTTGGTTTATTTCAGTACCTGCTTTATCACCAAAGGTTCATGTTGGCAGATAGTGATTCTGTGTTATGCGCCAGACCAGTTCTAGATTTACTCAGGTGGTGTACAGAGGGACCCTGTTGAAAGGCACTCCCATCCTTGTGAGGAAGTGAGGACAGAAGGGCACCAGCACCGGTCCCCTCGGCTCTCATTCCGAGTGCCTGTGCGCCAAAAGGCAGACGGGTGTGATGGCATGTTTCTCTTGAGCACTGCATACAGAGTACTTTTGTCCTGAGCAGCACTGTTCTGGAGAGCCTCTGGAATTGATGGGTAGGTCCAGGCTTGCGAATTTGTTAATCCCTGCCCATTCATTTCTGGTTAATGGGTAACTAGTGCCACTGAGAGTGCTGAGTCTATTTTCTAATCTGCTATGCCAACTCTATCTGCTACCTAATGCATCTGTTAACTGCTGAATTATTATAGGTAAGTGTCATTCTGGTAGTTGAGCATCCTGTCCCTGCAGTTTTCTCTGAGTTTTTAATTTTATATTTGGTTCCTTGAACTACACCCAGCAGTGCCCAGGGACTTGCTTTCCTTGACTGCTCAGGAATCAGATCAGGGTCAGCAGCAAGCAGGCAAAGGCAAATTTTCTGTACCGTCTTTCTGGCCCCTCTTGATTTTCTTTGTAGACAGTGTACACTTTCATGTAACCCCTGAAGATTGTAAGTCCAAAAAAAATGTGTTGGAATTTACATGCTGTTTAGGGAAGAGACCCTCTCAGGGCCGACTCCGACTATTTACATACCCTCAGCACTTTCAGTTGGGCTCAGAAAAGAAGTACTTAAAAATGATGAGTATTCACTTTAGTGATGGACTCTCAGCTTCCCTTTATCTGATCAAGAAAAGAAAGTAAAACCTTGCTGATGAAGGAATGACCTTTGTCTCACCTGGGCAAATTGTTGCATGCAGCTTGACCCACGGTGGCCAGAGTTTCTCTTTCAGAGCAGGTCTAAGCAGCCTTAGCCATGCTTTGTACCCTGCACTGACCATTGCCCAGATCTTCAGATAGCTAGAACAGAACTCCAGGTTTCTGTTTGCTTAGTAACACTTGAGAGTCCCATTTATTTTGTTTCAATCATGATTCTCAGAGTGCTAACCAGACTTTATTTCTCAAAGGGTGAATGTACTGGGCCCCCTGTTTATCACCTACGATATATTCCACATAGAAATACAGAGGGTGGGGCTGGAGTAAAAAGCACAGTGGGTAGGGTGTTGCATGCGACCAACCCGGGTTTGATTTCCAGCATCCCATATAGTCCCCTGAGCACCGCCAGGAGTAATTCTTGAGTGCATGAGCCAGGAGTAACCCTGTGCATCGCCAGGCGTGACCCAAAAAGCAAGAAATTGATTTGCTCGAGTAAGATTCTAATTGGGGCCCACGAGGTTCAGGGGTTATAGTGCTTGCCTTGTATTTTGCTAGGTTCAATCCCCAGCATCACCTATGGTCCACTCACCCCAGTAGCACAAGCCAGGTGTGACCCAGAGAAGAAAGGGATAACTACGTATATCTATCTGCCCACCACAGAATCTGAGCAAGGCTCAACAGTGGGGTAGACATTTGGTAGCTTATCCCAAGGAGGAGGCAAGAGAGGAGCCCTTTCTGGGCTTCTGTTTCCTTCCCCGCTATAAAGAGTCCTGCGTGGGAGCTTGTTTGGGGAGCTGAGCCACAGTCCCATGCTCCCACTGCACCCTGCTCTCCTCAGGGTTTACGCTAGGCTCTCGCCTCAGGGGCCATTGAAGATGGAACCCTGTTTGGTTGTACACCTGTGCTCCACACTCCAGCCATTTTCATTATAAGGGGTCACATTCCTAGTGGTTGGGGGCAGAAGTGGGGGGGCGGGGAGACATGTGGAGAGGATCATGCAGTGCCATAGGTCAAACAGCCTCACGTACATTGTACATGCTTTGCATATTCACCAGTTCCTGTTTGCACACATCATGCCTACCAATAAAGATTGTCTACACTAAAGGGTCCCAAAGTTAGTTAATTGGCTTATCACCTCCTTTTCGGAAAAAGAAAAAGTCACTGTACCCCTCCTAAGCCTGAAAGAGCCTTGAATATGGCACTTTTAAAAAATCTCGGTGCTAGGATGAAGGAGACTGGGGCCTGCTCGAGGCAATCTGACGAACAACAGAATGGCCGTGATCGTGGTCGTGACCCCTCTGGAAATCTACCCTCTTTAAGGCATCTGAAAGCACCCTCCAATTTCACCCTGGCTACAAGGGTCACTTTTGGGGCATCAGTGTCTCTAAGGGAGGGGTAGGGTGTGGCTCACTTTGGGAAGTGCTGGTTTACACTGAAAGGATCTTAAGGATCTAGTGATAAAGATACCTACATATACGTGCAGTCCAGAATCAGACCCAGAAGCTGACACATGCAAGGCAAGTGCTCGCCACTGAGCCACATCCCCAGCCCACTAACAAATGTATTTGTGTGGATGTGGAGGTTTACACCTGGCGATGCTCAAGGTCACTCCTTGCTGTATGCTCAGGGATCACTCCTGGCAGTGCTCCATGTGTTGTGAGATAGAAACAGCTGTGTGCCTTACCCCCTGTACTATCTGACCCACACTTAAGGCATCAAGATTTGCAATACTGTTTTCTGGATTTGGCTTACACCAGACTCTGTTTAGGCTTACTCCTAAATCTGTACTCAGGAATCACTCTTGGTGGGGCCCAGGCGACCATATGGGATGCCAGCGATCAAACCCGAGTTGGCCACATGGAAGGCAAGGACTTAACTCCTGTACTAGCTATATCATTCAGGCCCCTAATTTGCAACACTGTTAATGATAGGGGGTCATGCAGAAAACATTTCAGCACTCAACACTTTTTAAGTTGGGAGGAGGGTTCCAGGGGAGATAAAGTGGGTAAGGTGGTAAGGTATTTGCTAACCCTGAGCACTACCAGAAGTGACCCCTGAGGACAGCTGGATATGACCCCCAAACTTAAACTAATAATAAAGGGGCCAGAAGATAACTCTGTGATAGAGCAACTGCCTTACAGGCATGAGGACACAAGTTCAATCCCCAGTACTGCCACACCCCTGAGTATAGCCCAGGGGCATTGCCATAGGCTCCAGAAGAGTGGGATGGATCTTGGCACATAGCAGCAGCCTTGAGCACACACTGCACGTGCCCATCGTGGCAGTTCTTGGAGGGGAAGCAGAAAAGGGCCAATTCAAGTGCTACACAGCCTCAAAGACCCAGGTCAGAGGGTCCTGGTTTCTCAGAGGCTTTGGGGGGCAAGGGAGGAGGGGCACACCCTCAGCAGCACTCAGGGTTGGCGCCTGGCTCTTTGCTCAGGATCACTCCTGGCAGGGATCAGAGGCCACATGGAGTGCCGGGGTCAGACCTGGCTTAGCTCAATTGGAGGTGAGTACCTGCGCACTGTCCTGTCGCTCTTGCGCCTCTCCAAGGCGCTTCATGACAATGCTAGGTCCATTGTGGGCCGACTGGTCCTCACAGGACTCCCTCTCTTCCGGCCATGGTGCGCATCAGCTTTGGACTGGCTTCTTCCCTTTCTCAAGTTCTGATGACTGAAAGCAGAGACTTGACTCGATCATCTTCGAACCCTCGAACCTAGGTCATGTTTTTTACATTTTGGAATTACACCTGGTGGTGCTCATGGGCTACTTCTAGGTTAATGCTCAGGGATCATCCTGGCAGTGGTCAGGGAAAAAAACCCCTGGCCTCTGGTATGCAAAGCATGTGCTCCTAGAACTGAGAACGTTTTTATAAACCAAACTATAATATTTTTAGCCTGGATGATGGATGAGTATCCATTATTTTCATTATTCGCGTCATGAAGTTAACTCTGAGATGGTTAAAATGGGGCAGCTAGAGCTGGACTCTAATTTTTATTACATCATATCAAAGAATAAAGGGATGTTTAACTGCCCCCAGAACTCAATAAAGGGCCCAGTCAGAGGTCATTTATTCTTTCACTATCATATGTACTGGGAAACAGATTATGTAAAGAAAAATCAAACAAACCTCTCTAGCTGAGAGCCTAGCTAATCACAACCAGGTAGTCTTACTCCAATTTGTCTT